TTGCGCGTTGGCCACGGCGATATACGACGACATTGACATAGTTCAGCGAATTAAAAGACAGCGGCTACGCTGGCTAGGTCATGTTGTCCGGATGGACGAAAACACTCCATCTTTGAAAGTGTTCCATGCAGTACCCGCCGGGGGAAGCAGAGGAAGAGGAAGACCTCCACTCCGTTGGAAGGACCAAGTGGAGAAGGACCTGGCTTCATTTTTAATATCTAATAGGCGCCATGTAGCGAAAAGAAGAAACGACTGGCGCGCGGTTGTTAACTCGACTATAATCGCGTAAGCGGGGACTACGCCAATCAAGGAGAAGAAGAAGGTTTCAATAATGAGGCCATTAGCGTAATTTTGAGCTTGTTTCACAACAATATTAGCACCTGAAAATTCTTCACATAACATCCTAATCAAACGATTTTTGTATAATCAGTGTATTCGTCAGATATTAGAGTACCGTTGTGATGAAAGTGATGTTCATAGACACTGAAAATATTTGTCCAAAATATTATCAAATGTCTTCTCTCGATTCCACACAATACGATGTAACAAGTAGTCATCGATGATGTAGGTAGCATTTGTCCTTTCGATATCAATGCTTCATTCATTCAAAGCAATCATAAATGACTGACTTCTGTGTCTTACGCATTGCATTTGCATCCAAGAGCGATAAGAGGCTAATTCGTACTCGAAGAATCTTTAAGCTCACTTCAATGTGTTTGTAATACTCATGCGTTGAAATAATAAATTGTCGGTGAAGCAAATGAATGTTGAACTTCCCAATTTCTCAGTTATAATGATTCTATTACCGTACTTTAACTTGAGTTTTGACTTAATTGCTCTATTATCGATCGAAAGTTCTTTGCAAATATCTTTCAATTCTTGTATTGAAAATTGACAACCATCATGATTTTTAATAAATGTAAATATTTCTTCCATCGCTGAAGTAATAGAATTACTTTCAGGACGATCGATTTTACCTCCATTATTGGTTTTCAGAAACAAAATGTAACAATCACTGTGGTACTTAGCCTCAGCAGCAACTAAGTCATATTCATAGTGTATGCTGGCAATGACACTTCTTCTGARCTTCCTTCAAGATGGTTTTCTCAAGCGTCAAGGGTTGAAACTTGAGACACTCTTCGTCGAAGATGCTGAGCTTTTTTCATTTCAGTCGTTTTATCTGCTTCATTGCCACAGAACAAACAGCATTTATTGAAACAAAAAGACGATTCATTACCTTGTGCTCTAGTACGCGGAGGACTAATCCCAGATGCGTTGGCTATCTCCGCCTCACGCTGTCTTTCAGATGCAGTATGATTTACGGCACTGCTTATGTATCGATACATAWGTTTTGTCCTTCAAATATTCATCGAAMCCAGGGGTGATGGATTAGTACTTGAATCAATAAAAGTCTTTAGTCCACGATCAATTACCACAATTTCCCTTTCAGTCAAAGATTCATTGCAAATAAAGCAAAGTCTGACATTTTTACAAAATTCTCTTTTAAAAAAGATAGGGAGAAAGTCGTGAAGTAGAATTAAAAACGACTATTTTCAGACATTTCCCGTGAATAATTGGTGCATATTTTCATAAAAGCTGCACTCCTGAACCTTTACCAAAATTCCTTATTTTTTCAGTTGTAGTCAAGTAAATTTGACAGCAGGTTACGCATTCGGAATGATGCACATTAGAAGAGCAAGGAAAAATAAACAAAGAAAATATACTTATATGTGYAAGTATAGCTTASTATTCAGCTCTCAAGAAATGTAAAAACTTCATATACAAAAAACGCTGGTRTGCAGCAGTRARGAAATCTAGTACTAATTTTTAATACATAAAATGCGAMTATGGCAAACCTTGTTTTGCGAAGAAATCAACRATTGTTTCTTGAGGGAAATTCAAGGTAATCGTTAAATTYATCCTAAATTAGTTATTATTATTATTATGAAGTATATTTCATTTGGAAATGTTCTATAAAAMTTACCAATAATCAAAAACATTCCTGAAATCGCAATGGAAAAATGTTATTTCGAAATGTACTTTATTTTTATAATATAATACAACCGTCTTAATACTCTCTCTACTAGATTTTATATTACCGAAATGAAAATGCCGTCGGTATATGTGTAAATGGGATATGTTGCCTCTTTGAAATTTTCGTAGAAATGAAAACTGCGCTGTGAAACTGTGAGAGATTATTGCCTTCAATATATCGTATTATGATAACAAAGTCCCAAATACAGATTTGCCAACGGGAATGGTAATAGATTTGACAGTTAGTATGCCATAAATTTGCGCCTGTCAAGATGAGGGGTAATTTTGCCATCACTATATTCAATGCTATTTGATAGGCTAATGGTCTTATAGTTTTCTACTCACTATATATATACTGTGGTTTTCTATATACTATCGGTAATGAATTGTGTCGAAGAAGATAATTTTGTGGAAGTCAAAGTATTATTTTTCGCCAAAGCCCGTGAAATTTCTGGATTAAGTTCAACAACTTTTATTACTGAACAACACATACTAGTATCCAAACTCTTAAACCAGATTTGCCAAAAATTTGCAATTGATTGTATAAGGGATAGTTGTGTTATAGCAATAAACGAGTGTTACTGTGAAAATTTAGTAAATCTTCACGAAGGTGACGAGGTTGCTATTATTCCAACTATTAGTGGAGGTTAAAAGATATGGCTAATTTTTTGTCCATTACCCGGGAACCCTTGGATGTTGCAGCTATTACAAATTCAATATTTCATGAAGATTGTGGTGCTGTTTCCTTATTCGTAGGGACGACTAGAAAATCGTTTGACGGAAAAATGGTTTGTATTTCAGTGCTTTAAATAATAAGAGTCAGATACTACGGCAGCACGATTGTTCATTATAGGTACATTCGCTTGAATATGAAGCATACGAGACAATGGCTCTGAAGGAACTTAAAAAAATTTGTGATTCAGTGCGCTCCAATTGGAAAGATGTAGTGAACATCGCAATACATCACCGTCTCGGTTTAGTTGCACCAAAGGAAGCAAGTGTGGTTATTGCTATATCGTCTCCCCATCGAGAAGACGCATTTAAGGCAGTTTCGTATTCTATTGAACATTTGAAGAAATCTGTACCTATTTGGAAAAAAGAATTGTATAGCGATGGAGATTCAAGTTGGAAAGAAAACAAAGAATGTCAGTGGATGAAGTAACGTACATATTTTATAAAATATACTACAAAGGAAAAATAATGTTGCAAACAAATATTCAAAATAGTTTCGATTAAAGTTTCGCGAAAAAATTCCAAACAATTTTTTTTAATAACGGGTGTATAACGTAATGCCGACAATCAAAATATCGGAATTTAGAATCCCGACAGTCAAAATACCTACATACCAAAACACCGAAAAATTACAATACCGACAGATCAAACAAAGGTGGCGTTGTTCGTTCAAAGCCCTGCGGCCTCCGGTCACTAACACACTCAGGATGATAACCCTTAGTCGGTAAAATTCCCTTTTTGTGCTCTGATAGAAATAAAGCGGACAAGATAAAATATTTTTCATATGTCGGCATTTTATTTTGTCGGTATTTTGAATTC